CCTCTAGGCCACCACATCACTCCTAAGCTTTTCATTTTGGATGTACAGTAAAAACACAACCTGCTTTGAAACGAAATATATAAATAGCCACATCAATACTCTTACCTGCCCTTGATTGAATGCTGATTCTGAGATCTTGTACTTGTTTAAAAAGAGTTTCACATAATAGAAATTGAAGATACTGTTCATCATTCCAGCGCCTAACGTGGTCATCGAGTAGGCAAGAGCATTAGGGTGAAGTCCTAAAAAAGGCTTCATTTTTCTGCTGTAATATTTTTCTTCTTCCCTGTGGTACAGAAAAAAATAGTTGGACAAAAATAAGTATATATAGCTTGCAATTCTCATGGCACATCTCGGAGTATGCTTTCTAATTTTTAAAAATCTACGTACAACTGGAATCAGAACTCCGAGGGTTAAGGATGAAGCTCCTCTGTTTAAAAGCATGATCATAATTTTGTGGAATTTAGGAAATGTTTGTGCAATATTTAATGGCACTTAAGAGACAATCGGTGGAAGATTAAAACACAAATCTGACACTAAAGTCTTAAACACCACTATGTTGGCATTGGAATAAACGACAGAAACACTGCTCTTTGGAAATAATAAGGTTAATTAATACCAAACATTTAAAGGAGCAGTTTTATGCTTTTTGATTTGTAACCACTAGTAAGCTTTGATACAACTCTTTCACTGTTTTCATAAAGTGGTATGTTATAGATGAATGACCTGATCAGGTTAATCTGATGAGTTTAGTATGGAAAAGAAGTTCTGCATTATCTAATCACCGTGCTGAATTTTTAAAAGAAATTTGTGACTATCAACTGCAGAGGGTGTGTAGTCCTTTCTCTGTGGGAAAGGAATTAATATTTTTAACAAGGGTTGTGCTACCAAACTATAATTTGGTAATGAATAAGTTCAGAAAGGGTTTATTTATTATTTAAATGTATAATAATGAAAAAGGACAAGCAAGAGTATGTTGGATTTTGGCCAAAATATGTAAACATAGCCAATGAAAAGAATAAAAGATGGGTGACTTATATACATTTGAAATAATAAATAATATATAAATGAAAGCTAAAATAAGATGGGGGTGTTAAGCTAGATTTTTATACAGGGCAGAAACGGAGTCTGTTACAAATCAGAAGGTTTCATCCTCAGCTAGTGCATAAAACCATTGATTAAATTAGTTAAAAGGACAACAGTGTGCCTGCCTGAACAAAGCTAAATGCTGACAGATAATATAAATCATCTTTTAATTAGAATATAATTCAGATGAACCACCAGAGGGCAACATTTTCTCACCTACATTGATCCACCCCTAGCAAGAGAGCTTAGCAATTGGACAAGATTTAACAACAGAAAATAAGAGCATCATCGACCTTCATGGATCCTGAGGGGAAAAGGACATTTCTTGCTTTCCAGCCGAGATAATACAGAAGGAGCACAAAAGAGTCCGCCCCTCCCTTTTCACCTAAAATTTACATTTTAATAAACCAAGATATGGAGCACAATCCACTGTCAATACCAAATAAAAAACTACAATTCAACAGAACTACAAAACCCCTGTAAAAGGAGATAGTTAACCCACCTATTTGTACAATACGTTACAAAACCAAGCTTAAAATCGGTTAACCAGAGAGAGCAGCGATGCCCTTTAATAATATTTACTTCAAAGGAATCCCAAGATTGATGCAATTAATGCCTGGGGTAAGATTAAGAATGAATGGCATGCAACACACAGAATATTTAGCAGGAATCAGGGGTTGTTGTCTGTGTGTGAGGTCCACCTCCCATCCCTGGTCCAATCCCACATCTTGGCTCCTAGTACAATAACATCTATTGTACGGCACGTTTTCTTTCTCATATATTTTCATGGATGTATTCATAGTGCCTCGTCCAATCAATGTAAGATTTCTACAGGACCAAAGGTTTGCTTCGCGTTTTCAAAAACAAATGCCCCTTTGATGGGCACCAAACAGCCCCTTATTTGAAGACTAGATAAGAAAGCAAATTTGGGCATTTGTACTGTAAAATAAATAATGTTTCCGTCTCCAAAATGCTACACAGAATGATTGTGGATTCTTGCTGTAACCAGCGAACAGGGATAACTGCTTTTAATATATATATATATATATATATATATATATTGATTAGACTCCATCTGGAGATGTTTGTTATTGCCCATACACACAACTTTTAAAAGCCTTAAATATTTATGACTTGGAAAACTTTGGTGTACTAAAGCCCTTTTCAAAAGATATTGTATCACCCTGTTAAATTTTTTCTCTCTCTCAGGACTTCTGCCCATTTTTGAAAATTGTGAACGACCCCATGAAAGCGTTGGTTGGTATGGTTTATATCAATATTTATTATATGAAAAATTAAAATTGAGGCAGTTGCTGCTCCTACAGTTTCTGAGGGTTGTTAGGAGAATCATAATATCGTATTACTTTTCAACTTAGGCTGGCAAATGGTCTATGATTTCACAAAGCCAAGAGAGGATACTGATGAGAAACACTGATGGAAATGAGAGTAGAGCACAGGGCAAAACAAAAATAAAAACTTATTTGTTTCTCAGCATTTTGGCTTTTTTTTTTTTTTTTTTGCAGGACACTTATGTGGAGCTGACTGATAGTACCAGAATTCTATGCATTACTGTAGAAAGCTTCCAGGCTGAGCATAGACACGTCTAATATTTTGGACCTGTATAAATGGAACACAAAAAAAGTTTGGTGTTGCAGTTTAGAATAGAAGAACAGAGTTGGAAGGGGCCCTGGAGGTCCTCTAGTCCAACCCCCGCTGCTCAAGCAGGAGACCCTACACCATTTCAAGCGAATGGTTATTCTACTGTAATTAATAGTAAATATAGTAATTATAAGCAGTAGGACCTTTTCCTTTTGTAGCCCCGTTTGCTGCCAGCCAGGAGCTCCATTCCCCCGTCCGCTTGCTTTGTAAGTGGGGGGAGGGGGGGCTGAGATTCTTGGGGGGGGGGGAAACCCTCCAACCAGCCCACCTGCTTCTTCCCCCCTCTCCTGTCACCCTTCCCACGGCCACCCTGCCGGTGTCCACTCCGCAATTTCTTTCAAGGCGACGGGACCCGCCATTCGTTCCCCTTAGCAACCGACCCCTCGCGACGCCTAGCAACCGAACCCACCCCTCCCTGCCTCCGGGCAACGCCGCACTGACCCGCACTCTCCAGCCTCGGGCAGCGCAGAAAAGCTCGGAGGGCGGGTCTTGTATCCCCCCAACCTCTCCTCTCCAATCGCTTGCCATTGGCCGCCGTCGGGAGCCGTCGGATCGCCATTGGCCGGAGCGGCCACGAGAGGCCCGGCGGAGGAAGCGCGCTAATTGGCTGCCGCCGGCGTGGGTTCCTGGTTTTGAATCGCGCCCGGCGTCCTTGCCACGTTGCCTTCGCTCGGTCCTCATGGATACGCCCCCTGAGCCCCGCGGGAGGGGCGGGGCGGGGCGTTCGGGAAAATCCGGAGGCGCTCGGAGGCGCTCGGGGGCGGCTTTAAAGGCGGCGCGCAGCCAGGCGCCCGCAGGGACGGTAAACGGCGGCGGCGCGATGCTCACCGACAGTTTGGTGGAGGAGTTCGAGATCCGCGAGGATGAGCCGTGGTACGACCAGCAGGACCTGCAGCAAGGTGAGCGGGCGGACGGGCGGGCGGGCGGCGGGACTGCTGCTTCTCCCTTGGACTACCTGCCCCATTATCCCCAGCCGCCGCAGCCCCATTTCTTTGGGAGTTGGAACTCCGGAGATTCTTATTATCCTCCCGCCTCTCCTCTCCTTGCTGAGCTCAAGCCCCGGACTACATTCCCCATGATCCCCAACCTCACCTTCTAATCTAGCCAATGTTCTCTTGGGTGGGGGGGACTCCAACACCTATTATCCTCCCCCCTTCCCATCTCCTGTCCTCGCTGAGTTCAAGCCCTGGACTACACTCCCCCTTAACCCCAACCGACGCAGCTTCTAGCCAACATCCTTTTCCATCTCCTCTTCTTGCTGAGCCCTGGACTACACTCCCTATTATCCCCAACCCCACCTTCTAGCCAATGTTGTTTTTTTGGGTGGAGGGACTCCAGTGCCTATTATCCTCCCCCTTTCCCATCTCCTGTCCTCGCTGAGTTCAAGCCCTGGACTACACTCTCCATTATCCCCAACCGACACATAGTCCCACCTTCTAGCCGGCATCCTCTTTGGGTGGGTGGGTGGGTGGGGATGGGACTCCAGTGCCTATTATCCTCCCCCTTCCCATCTCCTCTCCTTGCAGAGCTCAAGTCCTGGACTCCACTTCCTATTGTCCCCCACTAACCCAACCCTACTATCCTCTGTGGCTGCAGCAGAGGGTTTGGAACTCCAGTGCCTATTATCCCCTGCCTTCCCATTTCTCTCTGTGCGCTAACTTCAAGCTTCAGACTACACTGCCCATTGTCCCCACCTAACGCAACTCTACCTTCTAGCCAACATCCTTTAGTCTTTTTTTTGGGGGGGGGGGAATAGGGTGGAACTCCAACACCTATTATCCCTGTTATCCTGCGTGGGAAGGCTCCCTATCATCCCCAGCGCGCTCCTCCAGCCAAGGGACCCCGCTCCCATCACCCCCTGGCTAATCCAGAGGAGAGGGGGTAGGTGGGGTGGATTCCAGCTGCAGAGAGTTCCCTGCCTCCTTCCTACTCCAGTCCCCATCCTCCCCAGCTGGAATGGTTGGGTAGCTGTAGCACGGCGGGTCAGGGCTGGTAGGGGTCACCCCTTCCTTTGCCTCCTTAACTGAGTGGGGGTTTCTTAGCCCCTTCTGTCCCTCCGTCCTCCCTTAAGACAATGGCTTTGTCTTTTAATTCTCCCTGCTCACCTGTGTGGGCATCTTCCCCTCCCCTCCCTCATCTCTGGTTGGTTAATTCTGCCCACCTGCCCTTACCCCGCTTTCTGCTGAAAGGAATTCCATCGTCCCCAGCCGGACTATTTCTTCCTTTCTTCCTTTCATCACCCTTCCCTGTCTCCTTCTTTCTTCTCCCCTTCCTTTCTTCCCTCCGTCAATCACCCTCCTCCCTTCTCTCCTTCCTTTCTTCTATCACCCTTCTCTTTCCTTCTTTTTCCCCTTCCTTTCTTCCCTC